GATTGATAGTCACATGACAATGTGTTTACCTCCTCAGGTGTTTTCTCTGCGAATATAAGAGCTGATCCTCCATCCTCCTCCTCTGGGTAGTCAGGAAATGAGCCTGTTGCATCACTATTCACAAGTACACATGTTAAATGTTGTTAAAGATGCCAAAAGACAATAAAATTGAATAACAATAATAAAAGGGATAATATTAATGACAAGAGATCCCAATTACCGGCACTCAATGAACCACTGTCGGATCTGATCTTTCATGGTCTCTTTCATTTCTGAGCCCTCCACTTCCCTGAGCTGATGAACAACAGATCCAATGGATTTCTGATAGTCATCCTCGTGTTCTTCTTGCCTGGTCCGCCTCAAGGCCTTATTGTTCTGGGCAATCAGCTCAGTTTGGGATGGATAGGATAGTTTTGGATCCAGTGCCTAAACACGGCAAAGTCAGAGTATGAAATGAAAGGAAACAGTATTAGAGTTCCATCTACTGGTGGCACAGTCAACATGTGGGCAAACATTAAAGCGCATATGTTAATGTGCTTTGCATTTATAGATGCTTTAAACAGATCAAAAGTACCTTTTAATTAAAACCAAGATGTCATTTAATATGGGACGATGCGGTGGCACAGTGGGTAGTGCTGTCACCTCACAGCAAGAAGGGTGCTGGTTCAAGCCTCGGCTGGGTCAGTTGGATTTTGCGTGTGGAGTTTGCATGTTCTCCCCGCATTTGCATGGGTTTCCTCCAGGTGCTCCGGTTTCCCCCACAAGTCCAAAGACATGCGTTACAGGTGAACTGGGTAAGCTAAAATTGTCCGTAGTGTATGTGTGTGAATGAGAGTGTATGGGTGTTTCCCAGGAATGGGTTGCAGCTGGAAAGGCATCCGCTGCATAAAATATATACTGCATAAGTTGGCGGTTCATTCCGCTGTGACGACCCCAGATTAATAAAGGGACTAAGCCGAAAAAAATGAATAAATGAATGAATTCAATATTAAATTCATTAATTCATTCATTAATTTTCGTCTTAGTCCCTTTATTAATTCGAGGTCACCACAGCGGAATGAACCACCAACTTATCCAGCACGTTTTTACGCAGCAGATGCCCTTCCAGCCGCAACCCATCTCTGGGAAACACATACACACTCATAAACTAAGGACAATTAAGCCTACCCAAGTCACCTGTGTCACATGTCTTTGAAATGTGTGGGAAACCGGAGCACCCAGAGGAAACCCATGCGAAAACAGGGAGAACATGCAAATTCCACACAGAAATGCCAACTGACCCAGCCGAGGCTCGAACCAGCGGCCTTCTTGCATTACCCACTGTGCCACTTTTTATTATGTTTCTTGAATCAGCATATTAGAATGATAAATTAATATTAGAATGATAAAGAAATAAACTGTATTTTAAAAAAAGTATTTTTTAAATTATAATAATTAATGTACAATATAAAATATAATAAATAATAATTAAGAAATTGTTATTTTAAATTGTACTACTACTTTATTTAATTAGTTTAACTGTATCTTTAATTAAAAAAATGTAAACTTAGTGACTTGTTTTTAAATGGTTGCGACACCGTTTGAATGTGCATATTTCTCTTTACCATTCCAAGGAAAATCATTTCCTCCTCACGTAACCTTTTAGTTATTTTTCTTTGCATGAAGCCTCTCCACACCTAAACAGAGATGTTGATTTGTTTAAGAAAAATTACAGCTGTTATACAGTGTAATAACCATGATATAATCATTGCGTCCCAATAAAACAGTATACTGTACCTTCTGGATACAAACTGCTGCCTGGTCAGAACTAACTGTCTCTATATCAGCTCTCTTTTGTCTCTCAGAGTCTCTATGGATCTCTCTCATGAACTTTGCCCTCAGTCGACCTTGCCGTGCTCTTTCAGCCACTTGAATGACTTTAATAGTCCTTTCCAGGGTCAACATCCGCATCACAGGAGGCTTGGAGAGGCAAGAGAAGTCATGTCAAGGGGACAAACATTCTAATCATTGTCATTTATGATAAAACACAATCAACTGAACTCACTCCTGACTTTTCCATGACATCCATTTGGTTTAATATAGCAGCAAACATTCTCTCTCTATCCTGCAGCACTTTATTACGCTCACGAATAAAATACCTGGGAATTGGAATCTCAAGGTCCTCCTTTGACAAATATGAGATTGAAAGGATTATTTATCATTATAAATACACTCATGAAATCCATTAAAGTATAAGAAACACTCTATTGAAACTCACAGGGGTTAATTTCAGGTCTTGGATGACGTCGTCCATATAGTGGTACTCTGAAAATTCCTTTTCCACCATTTCGTTCTTGAGCTCCAGAACACGGCCCATCACACTGTCCAGCACCTGCCTAATTACACGCCTCTTTTGGGGGTGAACGCTTTGGTCATAGGCCTCTTCCAGGTGTCTGAAGATCTGCACATAGCGAACATAGAAAGTGGCGATCCTTTGGAAGAACACCACTCTGTCTCTCTCAGGGCGAATAGGCTCTTCTGGAAGTTCTTGAGGCAGCAAACAGCTGAGCTCCTCATGAGCTTCGGACCAGAGTGAATTGTATGTGCTGGTGGAGAAAAACTTTTTACTACAGTATTTGAACTAAATAAATCCAAATACAAAGCTTTATATATAAAATTCACAGACCACCTGAAATTTACTTTGGTGTTGCTGGTTTGAGTATAAAAGTATTTGTTTTAGTCTACAAAGGTCTTACAAAATAGACTTCAAATTAAAACGTCATCAGAAATTGTTAATGTTATATTTTAAAACAACTTAAAAACACTCTTTCACTACTTATTAACATACAGTGCCTCAAACATACAGTGCCTCATGTTATTTAATTTGTTATAACAAATTAAATAGCACAAGGCACTTTATATTTGTAGAATTACTTGCTCGGAAATTATCATAATACAAGTTATTGTACAAGTTAGGGCTATGACATTTGCTAGAGCTATATTCCTTGAAAGCTATCGTTGTTTACTGTGATTATAACCCACAAACCTGTGCGACATCGGTGATAAACTAAACTCTTCCTTTGTGAGCAGGAGTTACAGCATATTTGTAGTTAAAATATTCAAAGTTCAAAACTAAAACTACGCTTCGGAAGAAAAGTAATGCAACTCAAATGAATCATTTTTACGGAGAGTCATGTTCATAGCTGACTAACTTGAAACGTTGTTGTCAGGCTGTTTCTAAGGTAACGCTTACGCACAACGGAAGTAGATCAAATTACGGTGATCAGCTTCATTCTCGGATAGACATTCTGGTACACGATGGTGTTTATATATAGCGTTACGTATGATTTAAACTAAATGAGTGAGAAAGGGGTTTAGGTTAAACAAAATTGTGTTTGTAGTTTTCTGTATCATTATTTAAATATGTTTTTTTTTTTAAATTATGATCATTTGTTGAACTGTTCAGTAGACAATATCAATGAATTATGTAAACGTACGTTAATATAATAGAGCTTAGAACAGGATATTGAATGTTGACAATAACGAAGAAAACAATAACAAGTAAACGCTCATATTTTTAATTTTTTTAAGTCTGTTTATATGCATTATGGGTGGCCCTAAACGTCATGTAACGTTAATGCGACAACAAAATCATTTTAGTCTTTGTTGCAAATTACTTTAACGAGAGTTTGCAAGCTAAGCTTCCTGAAAATGTTTACACCTATGATTTACACTTCGAAGTTGTAGGAACAGTTAGTACGCACTATTTTTGTTACCGTGTGGTAATTTAGGCACTGCATTTAATATAGATCAATACACCAAAGTTAAAAAATAATTCAACTTTAAAACAAGAGAGAGAGAATTAACTCAATACATTATAAATATCTCAAAACTTTCAGGCACATACATCCGAGGTAAGGTGCAGTTTAGAAATACACCCCCTGATGTCGCCAAACACAATATTTTAATTGTGTTTTGTCTCTAACTTTGTTCAGGGAGAGTTCACGAGGCTTTAAATAACAGGACCTGTGGTGGTAAGTAGACTAAAGCATTCCAATAATATGTCTGAAGTACTGGGTCAAAGGCTATATCAGGTCATGTTTCACTTTTGCTCCGTTCTGCAGTGTCGAAAATGCAGCATTCCAATGTCATTAGCAAATGTGTGAACTTTAAAAGTAAAGCTTAGCTTCAATTGTCCTCGTGCAAATCTGAGATTTACTGAAATATCTGAACTGATTATTGTTGCTGCTCATAATAGCAGTATGAAGATGTGTGTGTCTTCATGTCACACTGGAAAATGTCATTTCCTTCAAATTCCCTTATGAGAAGCAGGTTCAATGACATTCCTGCAAGAACAACAGCTGAATGAAGTTCACTGAAAAAAAAAACGATTCATAGATGACTCATTTTATTTACTAAAAAATTTTTTAAGTTGATTGGCTGTGATAAATTTATTTGGACTTAGTTTGTTTAAACTCAACACATAAATTGTTTGCAACAATTTTGCAGACATCATTTCTTTCAGTGTTGTTGCTTTTTTGACTCTCATTTAATATGCCAGGGTTAGCTTGTACTCACCATTAAATGCAACCAATCTAGCTTTGAAATTTCCATTTTTATATATATTTTAGTTTGTTTGTTTTTTTAGCTTTATTTTTGTTACTATTATTATTTGTAATTTATAAATACTGCCGTAATTATCATAAAACTAAGCATTTTACAGAACAATTGGGTTTCTTTAAACAAAACATAATAAATATGCTCTTGTTTACTGTATGTCGCTCACCAGTTCAGAATTTAAATTTAAGACTTCATTACAAGTTCTTCTTTTAAATTTATATAAGCTCACTGAAAGAAATGATGTCTGCAAAATTGTTGCAAACAATGTATGTATTGAATTTAAACAAACAAATCAGATTTAGCAATGTTCAACAACATTTTTTTGTTTAAATTCAACCCAAATTAATTGTTTACAACCACTTAACTTAAAGAAATTTAGTAAATCCAAGGAATCATCTTTGAATCATTTTATTTCAATGTAGTCTTAAAATTAAGGTTTATTTATGCGTTCTATTTCAATTAAGTATCTTTAAACTGAGATTTTTCCACTAAGTGTTACATTTTCCTAAAGGTTCTTAGTAAAATACATCTAAAAATTGTTCTTTAAAAAAATTAACACATTTGATAACAAAAAAAATGGTTTCTATGGAAAACCAAAATCTAGTGAAAACCTCTTTTTTGGGGAAAGCATGGGGGGTTGTTTGCAGGTGCTTCTACACTTTTATTGGGTTTCTTTATTCTGTAGAACACAAGGTGTATTGAAGAATGTTATCATAATCATTAACATCCTAAGTGCGGGGTATATGGAAATCAGTGGCTAGCCTATATGTCAAATGTTATAAATATCTTCCTTTGTGTTCAACAAAAATAAGAAATTCAAACATGTTTGGAACAACCAGAGGGTGAATATGATGACAGAAGTTTGAGTAAATTATCAATGTAAAGAGTGAAAGTTCTTTCAAGTTTGTTTGCCAAAATTGGAAATATCATTACAATCACGCATTGCATCTAAGCTGAAGTCCAGATTTTAAGGACATGACCCTTGCGAGACCTTCTCAGACCCCCGAGGGGAAACACAGGAATATTAAGAAGCTTACAGAAATAATCAACGTTCAGTTGGTTTACATAAGCCAGTTTGAGACAGAGTGAAAATTCATTTGATATTTAATTGCTTAAGATCATTCAAACCAGACGACTGGTCCATGTTTACGAGACAAAAAAAAGTTAAGAAACCTGGCATTTATGCGCTAAGCGTGTAATACCAGCACAAAGCCAAGTGCAAACCAGAGTTGGGAGGTGGAAACATGCGGGGCTTACCAGGATAGCGCGCTTAGTGCAGTCACAAGACCCGACCATCCATGAACAAAAACGTCCAGGCGTTTATTTCACTGCTCGGCTACATTTAAAGCAAGTATATTTGGATACGTGAAGGTTCCCCATCCTTTCCATGGGGTGCGTGGCGCGATGGATATCTCCAAGAACATTTACGCATTCAGCACTTTGCCAGCTATGATTCTTTTTAAAAACCGCATAGAGGAGTTTTGAGACACTTTTTATTGTTATCTGAACTTCTGTGATGAGTTTGAAACGAAAGGAGGGGCGAGTGTCAAAGGAACTGACCACGAGTTGAGAAGAAAAAAAAAAACTAAGGGAAAGATGTCTACATTTGCCACCCACACGATATCGATTGTATTACATTCAAGAAGCTTCGCACTTGACGTATAAAAACAAGACGCATGTTCTCAAGAAAGACACGAGACAACAGGAACTTTTGGAAGATATATTTTTCTCTGGCAACTTTGCGTCCACATCATTAGAGGCAGAAGCACCTACCAATATATAATCGTGTAAGTCTATTTATTTTTGCCTCTGTGACTATAATTAGTGATTACGCTGAAGTGGATAATTTCTAAAGAAATTAAACGTGGACAATGCGCAATGGTTAGATTTAGGTCAAATCAAGGATGTGTTTATTTAAAACATTTAAAATTTGTATTTGTTTATTTTATATTTGGATATTATGCATTTATATAGTGTAGATATGTCGTGACTTGTACAAAAATCTGCCTATAATAACGCAGGACCACTGCGCAAATTTTGCCAAGTGCGCATTTACGCGCGTATCAACTTTTACTAGGCTATGCGACGATTTAATGACTTGCTTTCCTGTTTTGTTCGTTTGTCAGTCTGGAAAGCCATGCGGGCTGAGAAGAGATGGCACATCTTGTTGAGTATGATTCTTTTGCTCATCACCTCCAGCCAGTGCATGGACAGCAAGGAGGTAAAGGAGTCGGAAAGGAAAACTCTGCTTAATCTAATCCTGCAAGTGATCGGGGAAAAGCCCGCGTCCAGACGCGTCACCAGTGGCCTCTACTCTGTATCTCAAGATGCTAAGTTTTCCTCGCGTGAAAACACTGCACATTTGCCCAAGCCGGACAACAGCAGACCAATAGGTAAGCTGATTTGAGATCAGGTGATAAATGTAATCCAGGGCATTAACTCCTTCCTGTTTCTGCATATCAAATGCACTTTTAACACCTAATCGCTGACAGCTCGTCATATTTTGTGTTGATGAATTGCAGTGACATTAACATAACCTGTAATAATTGGCTCAATGTTAAAAGTCCAGTTTAAAAAAAAAGCTGTGAAATTGGATTAAGGAACACTCTTTTGATCTACAGAGGGTGGTAAAATGAATGCTTATGGTCTTGTTAGGCAGATAACATAACGCTGAAATCACCAGCGTAGATCTAAGAACTGCTCAGAGAAAGTTTATAAGCTTGGGAAATCATGGAGCTAATTGTCACATGTAATGGTGTGCGCCTTTAGAAAACTGCTGGTGAGCTGCTGCATTTCACAAAAAAAAAAAAAAAAAAAGTGTGTGTGCCTGAAAATGTGCTTCATGCATAACTCTGAAACTATTTGGGTTGTTTATTAATGGAATAGTGTTCCCAAAATTTAAATTTATATCTTAATTTAATCACCCGCAAGTTCTCTTAGATGTGCCTGAAATTCTTCTATTAAATAAGCACAACTGAATAATATCTTGACTCTTCTCAATTGCATAGTTTAGAAGTTGTTAAAGCTCTAAAAAGCACATCCATCTATCATATGATTAATAATTACAACAACAGTGGGCTTCATTGGAGAGTCGAGTTACAACATATGACGCATGTCCTACGTTGTAGATCACTTGACTATCCAGAATGCGTAAATGGCAGATGCTGGCAGCCATTGAAAAAAGTTGGAGCATTAAGCATGGATATTTTATCCACACAAAACCCATCGTCTTCCTATATAAGAATATATGAATCACATTTATCACATGACAATTTATTACTTTTGTATTGTTGATGTATTGTTTAGTCACATTCTGCTTCTGTATAAAAACATGGATTATTTTAAGAAAATGAGAGATACCTGTAATTTTGGGTCATTTGCTTTCTCGTTTTCACTCCATTAAGCGGTTATTTCAGCCCCAAAAATGAAAATTCTGTTATTAATTACTCACAGTCCTGTGATTCCAATGGCCTACGACCTTAGTTTGATTTGTGTTTCGAAGATGAACTAATCAGAGAGCTCAGAGAAGTCGAGAAAAGGAACCAAAAACATTGTCAAATCTTCCCATGTGATTTCAGAGGTTCAACAGCGCTCTTATGAAGCATCAAGAACACTTTTGTGCACTAAAAGAACTGTAAAAATGAGTATTAGCCAATGTTTTCTCTTCAACATCAGGTCCCGATGCAGTTTGTGTTGCTGACTCTTATGACAGTGCCTTGTACTGCCCATAGCGTTTGGGTATCATTCAAATTTTATCAATTCCAATTCTTATTCTGCCTCCTCCTTTGTGTACATTTTTAGTGCAGTATTGGTACTTTTACTCCACTATTTTTCTTTAACCTGCAGTAACTACTTTATTTTTTCTTGTCTATGGGGATTAGAAAAACCAGTTATGTGGTTCCTGTCCAATCAGATCGCACGTAGAAGGTAAATCACATCATAATGAACTACCTCAAAACATGGGCGATTTATAATTGCAGCGAACTGTTTGGACGCATTAAAAGGGTCCAAGACGATTTCCAAAATTTTAATACACATTAAGCAAGAGACTCTTTAGATGTATGCCACTGTTGAAAAGATAATGGATGTTTCTTGTATGATGACCGAAAAGGCCTTAAATGCCCAGCAGGCAGAATACGTTAACATGACATCAGATTGACGTTGTACCCTAACATCATGGGGACATTGGATTATGTTTGGAAATGAAAATCAAGTTGACGTCAGAATCCAATGTCAGGCCTACGTCAATGTCCAATATTCAACCTAAAATCAACCAAATATTAATGTCTAATGATGTTACAGTTTGACGTTGTGTGGACGTTACCATTATGACGTCTATCAGACGTTGGATTCTGATGAATAAATGTCAGTATTTGATGTCAATATGACGTTGGTTTAAGATGTTGACAAGACGTCAGATTTTGGTCACTTTCTAAAACAACCTAAAATAAACCAAATATCAACGTCATTTGATGTCGTTATTGGATATCAAAATAACAGTCTTTATAAAAGTTTTTAGACATCGGCTAGACATTGAATTTTGTGTACTGACATCACAACCTAAATCTAACCTAATATTAACGTCTTATGATGTTGTGTGCCTGCTGGGCAATAAGTAAATGCATTACAGAATGTTACATTTACAAACATCCACAAATTACATGTAAATGCATCAGCTCATACTTTGAGTAATATTTACAACAGGTACTTTTACTCTACTTGCACTACATTTTTAGGCAAGTAATGGTACTTTTACTTGAGTGTGATTTACTCTAATACTGTCTAATACTGCAAAATACTGATACTACTTTATACATCAACTAATTAAATTATTAATAATTTTTTATTTCCGATCACACTTTATTCTATTTTACAGTTATAACATGCATTTATGATTTTGTTTTTTATAAAATTCGTTTGAGAAATATTTTAGCACAATGCTTGGTCATGTTGGTTGTGACACCTTAGTTATAACTGTAGTTGCACTTAGCTTTTTAATAAGCATGAGACAATAATGATTTTAAGGTTTACCATGGTTTGGAAAAGTCAAGGTTTTTATAACTATTTTATTTAGTTGTTTTTGGGCAACAGTTTCTCCAGCAGAAAAGAAACCTCCACATCAAAAACTACTGGTCCAATATATGAAATGTTTCTTCAAATAAAATATATTGTGTTCAAATTGTTGCTTTTAATCAGACATTTAAAAAGAACTTATTTTAAAGCAGTAATGACAATACTTTGATACCATGAAATTTTTATCCAAGATTATAATACAGTCAAAATCTTATACCGAGCCCATGCCTATTCTTTACCAAATGTAGCCACACTTTTGAGCACCTCCCGTAGTCCATCATTAGATTTATGTTTAGATTATTATTCAAGATTTGGTCACTCATCAGTGCAGAAGGTCCTGCCAGTTTTCCAAAAAATATTAAAAAAAAAGAAATAAAAATGTGCACACAGGAATCAAAATATTAATTTTATAACAAATATTAATTCTTAGAGTATCTGATTCCAGAACCTGAAGAACCCTAACTTCCCCCTGTAAACAAACACTCTGACGACGCGACAAGAAAGTTAAGAGAAACATTGATAAACACAGACATTTCTACAGTTTTTTGGCACACAAAAGTGTTCTTGGAACTTTGTATGATTGCAGTTGACGTTTTTAGTTCCTTTTCTGGATTTTTAGCATGCTTAAAGTTATAACACTTGAAATATTTATTGGTGTAACTGCCTAGTGTTAAATGTCAACTACTGAATGCCCCATGTCATGTAGCTGACCAATGTGTTCTGATGTATTTAGAGATATTTTAGAATTTGTGCAGCACTTGAGAATAGTTTTGTATTTGATGTTATTATGTGGTTTCATCATTGCTTTGACACCCCATTACTTTGACGGTTTTAAAAAAAAGTGACAGTGACAGTTTTCTGGTCGGCCTGATTCAGAGCTGGTTTCTTTAACATCCACAACAAAAGAAAACAAAATTGGTGTGCATTTTTATACTTAAATTGTTTGCCAAAGGACAAATTACACCCATAAACATCTGCAGTCTCTGATCTGGATGACCTTTGAATGAGTTTACTGCCTTTTAAGTTTTGCAACGAGACTGATTTTATTCCAGTGAAGAAATGCTGGTTTTAAAATCTTGATGCTGATATCATGATCCTTTACATAATCCAAAACAGCCAACACGGTGTACTACAATGTGAATAGACAATCTGAACAGAACAGCCCATTAGTATAGGCATTTAGTCATGTTATGTAAGACTCAGGTGCAACAACATGCGTATGGACTGCGTATTATTATGCTGATAGGTGCTTGATAATGCATCATCTTGACAAATGTCTAAAAATTAAATAACCCACAAGCGAGGTATACAAATAGACATCGCAACTGCAGGAAGTCGCTGTATTTTGAATGAAAGTGCAACTCATTCATAGAGCAGTGTCGGTTATCCTGAGTTCTGTGGAGGGTTAAAATTAGCCACTGCATGGATTTGTGGACCTGACATTGATAGGCATTACAAGTTTGCATGCAATAATCTCCTTACTCCGATAGGCCGGAACTGATACTGTATGGTCTACATGCGGGGACATTGTCACAGGGTCGCCGGGCCACAGATTGTGCATAATTAGCAAGGACCCCAAGCCTCCAGCAGATTTACTGGGTGCTGGATTATCAGTCTGGGATTGCGTTCTTCCATGCATGCTTCAAACAGGGCTGTCCATCATTCTTACGTCAAGCATGTAGTCACCACTGTCAAACATATGGCGTATATTTGATTATAATCAGTTATATCATCATCTTAATAGATGTTTTCCGAGAGGTTATTGCACATTTGTGTTACAGCTATTTATAGGTTTGAGATCTGATAGACTGTTAAATGACTGTTAAATCACCGTTAATCACTCACTGGCCACTTTATTAGGTATACCTGCCCAACTGCTCATTAGTGCAAATTTCTAATCAGCCAATCACATGGCAACAACTCAATGCATTTAGGCATGTAGACATGGTCAAGATGATCTGCTGCAGTTCAAATCGAGCATCAGAATGGGGAAGAAGGGGGATTTAAGTGACTTTGAATGTTGCATGGTTGTTGGTGGCAGACAGGCAGGTCTGAGTATTTCAGAAACTGCTGATCTACTGGGATTTGCATGCACAACCGTCTCTAGAGGTTTACAGAGAATGGTCAGGAAAAAAAAATATCCAGGGAGCGGTAGTTCTGTGGGCACAATTGCCTTGTTAATGCCAGAGGTCAGAGGAAAATGGCCAGACTGGTTCAAGCTGATAAAAGGCAACAGTAACTCAAATAACCACTTGTTGCAACCCAGGTGTGCAGAAGAGCATCTCTAAATGCACAACAAGTCAAAACTTGAGGCAGATGGGCTACAGCAGCAGAAGATCACACCAGGTGCCACACATGTCATCTTAAAACAGGAAACTGAGGCTACAATTCACACAGGCTCACCAAAACTGGACAATAGAAGAATGGAAAAACGTTGCCTGGTGTGATAAGTCTCGATTTCTGCTGTATCATTTGGATGGTAGTGTCAGAATTTAGTGTCAACAACATGAAAGCATGGGTCACTCCTGCATTGTGTTAACGGTTCAGGCTGGTGCTGGTGGTGTAATGGTGTGGGGGATATTTTTTTGCCATACTTTGGGCCCAATCAGTACCAACTGAGCATCGTGTCAACGCCACAGCCTACTCAAGAACTGTTGCTGACCATGGCCATCCCTTTATGACCACAGTGCACCCATCTTCTGATGACTACTTCCATCAGGATAATACGCCATGTCATAAAGCGTGAATCATCTCTGTCTGGTTTCTTGAACATGATAATGAGTTCACTGTACTCAAATGGACTCCACAGTCACCAGATCTCAATCCAATAGAGCACTTTTGGGATGTGGTGGAACGGGAGATTCACATTTTGCATGTGCAGCTGACAAATCTGCTATCATGTCAATATGGACTAAAATCTCTGAGGAATATTTCCAGTACCTTGTTGAATTTATGCGATGAAGGATTAAGGCAGTTCTGAAGGCAAAAGCCGTTCAACTCTGTACTAGTAAGATGTACCTAATAAAGTGGCCGTGATTGTATGTAGGGTGATGTAAAAATTTAAGTCATATTTTCAGGTTTGCAGACATTTTGGGAAGGCTGTCAATGAGATGAATCTTTACTAAAAGGATAGTTTGCACCACCCCAACAAAATTGACCCTTTATTTACCAACCCCTCGCTCATCACAAATATGTTTAATTTTCGTTACTCTGTTGAACACAATGTAAAGAAATTATTTTAAAAATTCATGACAACAAATGTTTTATGTTACTTTTTGTTACAATAAGTTTAGTTTTCTTTTTTTAGTCTGTTTAACTAATTTAAGTGTGAAAATGGATAGAACTTTTCATTGTATTCAACTAAATTTAAGCCAGCAAGATTTTTTACAGTGCACAGTAGAATATAGTTTGAGGAATGTTAGAAACTGGTGACCATTGACATTCATGGTAGAAAAAAACAAATGTTATGATGTCAATAGTTACCAGCTTCCAACATTTATCAAATTATCTCAAGTTTGTGGCGAGTCAAAATGATTGAAAAACGATTTTAATCTTAGGGTGAACTATGCCTTTAAATATGCTAATACTAGCTAATACTAATACTGAGAATTATTTTTACAAATACTGTATGTCTGTATACAGATAGCTACTGTAAGTAAACAGACTTGAAGAATGACTTCATGCCATGTGCTTGGCAGTGTATTTAGTGACTGAGCTGGACGCAAGCTGATGTCATAATTACTCCCAGACTAAATACTATACACTGAATCACATCCAATAATATAACACAGTAGTATTTTTTTTTCATTTATATTTATGTCAGAAAAACATTTTAAAAACAAAAGAATTCTTCAAAGTAAATTTGCAGTACAATCAAGACATGTAGTAACTCCAATTTGTTCTGTTTGTAATGTCTCCTTTTTAATATTCACAACTTAAAATTGGCATTTTATAAAATACCTTTTCTGCTTGAGCTGTTATGAATGCCCGACATATTTTATAATTAGCAGTGACATTGTGTGGGTATTTTTAAACTCATTTACCAATTTGTGTGCCGGAAAGTGTCAGGTTTTCTGTTTAACCAAACCTGACGGTAAATCTAAAAGACTAAAATATGAAGGCTGTCAAAATATGAAATTGATGCTTTTTAGGAAATGAAAACATAATAATGGAAGCCGTTCACTAAACATGCGCACACACAAAATTGTCTGCATTTTTGAAAACAAAATATGCTTCATCAAAACTTTCATACTAGAATGTATATAAAAAACATGAAATCGCATGTAACCAAAAGCGCATACTGTACTCCGAATGCAAAAATAATCATATTAGCAAGTTCTATTTTAAGGCTGCACTATAAACTAGTCAATCTAGGGCCATATATACTTGCAAAATTAAAGTTTTGCAAACAAAAAAATAAAGTATTAAGCAAATACATAAATAGATAAATGCACATCTTAAAAAAATAGTAATGACAACAAAAATAAAGAACTACAAAGGGAAAATTAATTTTCATAAGAACTGCAAATTAAAATATAGCAATTAAAAAAAAATCTAAATAATTTGCAATAAAAAATAATAAAAAACATTTTTATAGCATTGCCTTTACAAAACCCATCCAGTCAATTGCAGTGCTTATTTTGATTTGCTTTTTAGTCCGTGAGTTTGCGATGGCGTTTTCACTTTGCACTTCACATTTCTGCACGTTTCAATTTTTTGCACATTTAATTTTTATTTCTCAAAACTTAGTTTTCTCTTTGCAGTTCTTTTAAGAGTTCACACTTAGCTCATGATTTATATTTAGCTTGTTTGGCATGCTGTTCTTGGAGAGAGCCCTGAGCTCAAGAGATCCTCGAGCCCAGAGCTCCCCCCTTTCGCAGGGTGAGGGGAGATTGAGCTCTGGTCGATCTCAAACTCCCCCGCTGCTGAGGCCAAGGCAAACTTCCTGAGAGTAAGACATTAGGCTTATTTATCTATAATATAGAGCACATTTGGATAATGGGAGGAAACCGGGGAACACGGGGGAAACCCAGGTGGACACAAGGAGAACATGCAAACTCCACACAGAAATACCAGATAGCCCAGCAAGGACCCAACGCCATTGGTATTCTTGCTGTGAGGCAACAGTGCTAGTCACTTAGCCACCACACCGCCCATTCTAGATAAAGTTGTAAGAAGGTGAGGAGAGGGGTTTCTTCCAGATGAAGATAGTTGTAGAAAGAAAATGAGGAAGGATGGATGGATGGATGGATGGATGGATAAATGGATGGATCACTTCACTTATTTTTGTTAGCAAAATAATTTTTTTTTAATTTTTAAACCAGATATTTGCATTTATTTATTTTATTTATTTATTTTTTGCTCAATACTTTGTTTTTTGTTGGCAAAACTTTATTTTATTTTGCAAATATATATGGCCCTAGATTGACTCCATACTATATGATATCTGAAAAATCTGACATTGTGATATTTATTGCGATATGAATAGAATAATCTCGGCAGATGACTTGAATAGCTTAGTTTGGAACTCATAATTGTATATTGATTGGGATGATTTCATAGGCCAGATAATCTGCATTAATTTAGGAGCATTTTACTTTTTAATCTAACTGTATTCGAATATAAGTTGAATAATCATGTGCATGCAAATCAAACCACACAGTCTTCATTGCATAAAAGTTAAATGCAATACATTTTTAGTTACAATTTCTTTAAATTATTTAAAGGCCCTAAAAACACTCTTTCACTCTATTAAGGTTAAGCTTTACAGTCACTCAACAATATGGTTCTTGGTCACATTGCAGATCCTGCGATGTGACTATTGCGAATGATCACATTGCGATATTTATGCTGAAACAAAGCCCTATTCTATTTTATTTTAAAGCACAATATGTACAATTTTGACATTAAAATATTCAAAAACGTGTTATAATTCGTACCAACTGTTTTAGAGAACATTCAAATCCAGAGAAATAATTAGTTGCATGGACCACACACCCTCAATTTCTGCTTTTGTTAAAGTAATTCTTTACATTGCTTGAGGATCCCACAAAAGCACGCCAGTATAGAGACTGACGGAACAAATTTGACAAGAGTGACGAAAGGCTTGTCTTTCTCATTTTCTTCCATCAAATGTCTCCAGCCAAACCAATATCAAGTTGAATCCAACTTCTATGTTTCTCCAACTGCTTTAGTTTGAAGTTAAGCTACTTGCTGAGGTTTGTTTCACTACAGTGTCATGCTTTAAGTGCATATGATTCAAGATCTAGTTATGTCAATTAAAATGTTTATGGACTGGTACACAAAGCAAAACATTAACACTGTTTTTTTTGTCTGTTTTTTCCAGAGATTGTCCCAAGAGACACAAGCATGAAAGACAAATTTATAGAGCATTTTACAGGTAAACAAAAAACAATTTCAATAGGTTTCATTTACAAAGATTTTTCTTGATGTGTGACTTTGCATCCAGATGTTCAGAATATAGCATAAAACATTTTCTATTCTTACATGTATGTTTGTCGAGTATGTGAATTGTCTTGTCTGCAATTGCTACATGTACATTGTGTAATATTGCATCCCACTACGCGGTGCACTCGACCTGACCTTTCACTTCCTGTGTCATGAATGATAACCAAAGTACTATCTGCTTCTTGAGTCGTTATTTAATCGGGCTGCCAGAAGTTTGTTCCAGTTTTACACAAAACCGGAAAGCAGAAAATGCATATATATAAACTAGGCACCATTTATGAACTCACATACTCTACAACTTGATAAGGCTGTTTTAAATAAAACATTCCCTTGGTCATGTGACCTATAAATGATAATGGAGGAATAACGGATTTTTGTTTCGCTATTTTTAAAAGTTGCTAGATTGTATTTTATCAATCTAAATCTGTTTTTAATTCTCACTATTAGCCTTTTTTCTTAATTATAGGCCACTATTCAAACACTTGATGTTTGTTGTTTGTTCAAACTACTTATTTAAATAAGTAATCTAAAAAAACACAATATTTCAGGGTTTTTTTGGGGGGGAACAACAGAATAGTTTTATATTCAATCCATTTCAAATTGCAAAAACTAATAAGGGTCATGTTTTATTTTGATGGTCCGTTTGTTGAATTTAAGTTACATTGCATCTACATGCCAACTAATTCTCATTAGATTATAAGCAGACTGTTAGGTTGGGGTTAGTGTTAGAGTAAGTTGACATGTTTCTTATAGTCAGTTAAACATCTGTTTAGCAGCAGTATCAACAGATATTAAGCAGACAGTCTACCAATACTCAAATGAACCATAAAAAATACAAAATAAAGTGTTACCCTAATAAGTTAAAGGTGCAGAATGCTAACCGTTAGCATAATAGCTTTGAACACAGTCCCTTCCCTGCCGTTCAAAGCCATGTCTCCTGAAGTCACGGATGAGTACCATACAAATGATAGTAGACAACACACTAGATCATGTCATTCGCCGGTTAGAAAACTTTACTGTACTTAATAATGCTACAATTCCAAATATAAAAAACTGTATTATATCTTGAGCGTTTTCAGTAGTGAAGCAAGCAAAACTTGTTATAATGTGCAATATTTCATGCAAGGACCGCTGGTCTAACTCTCTCACATGCTTTGTCCTTAAATGACTCTGCTTAGTGGTTGGCCGGCGGGGTGCAGGAATTACACTTATTACTTTTGGCCTACCCTTTTGTCGTGCTAGGTTCCCTTTGTAAAGGGTAACCAAAAAGTGGTAAGATACGGTTTGCTTTTTGGTTCCTTTTGACAGTGGAAACGGCCATAAAAGTGTACCGACTTGTACCGTACCACTCAGTGGAAATGGGCCATGTGCCATACATAATATTTCAGACTGAATTTTCAGAGTAGCGTGGTAAACAATATAGGGACCGCGTCACAGGATGTCATTGTTCAAAAATTATGTCAAGATAAAACTTCAGCTTAGTAAAGCAGGCTAGGCGGAATAGCACTATTTACTTGTTTTGTTATTAAAATAAATAAAAATCTACATGATCAATGCTATAAAAGGTATCACATGAAATTGACAATTATTTTTTTGCCGGAAGAACACTTCTGTGCATATAACCCATTTGTAAAACAACAACATCTACATAAGATTTGCGTGACTGAAATTGTTTTAAAACATAACATTACCTGTCTAAAAGAATTACTTCAGCCATGGTGTCATCCTTACTCTAGCGTGCAAAACTAACTCCAATTTTGATTCAGGATTTTAAAAAGTTTTGATTCAGCATTTGCAAACGGTGGATCTGCATGAGTGGGGTACGCAGATGTACAAATCCACATTTGTTGACAGTTTTGGGCTACTTATCAGAATTATGGGAATTGTCTGCTCGACAAATTTTAATTGGATGAACAATTTTTAGTCTTATGCCTTACCCAGAATATAAAATGCATATAAACACATTTAGATCATTTACTTTAATCATTACTATTGGAATGTGAAGAGACTTTCTACCAGAACAACAAAAAATGTTTCTGAAGACAATCACCTACTGCACCTTTAACTTATTTCCTTCATGTTGTCCAAACACAGATTGATTGTGTGGAACTCAGCATTGTTTACAGTTAATGTAAAGCCAGTCAAATACTGTAAGTTAAGCTTGCTGTAAGTTGACCTTAATAAGTTGTTTTTAAAGCCTCTTGTAAAAATGCATTAGGCCAAATGTTAGCCAAATCACATTTAAGATGATTAATCGTTTCAGAATCTTGATTCACCTATGATAATTAGTGCGAAAATCTGTTATCCGGAAACTCATACAATGAAACTTTGTAAGAGCTTTGGCAGAATCAGAATCATTAAGACTCTGCCCTTGTGATTGCATGTCAAGCGTTGGCATTCGCTAATTCTTCTTCTGGGTTTCTGCACATGTCAAAAAGTGACTCCGTTACAGCAACTCTAGCGTTTCAGCACATTTACCTAATGAGTGAGCAGACATTTTGAATTCAGAGGGATCAGAGTAACTAATCCATAAAACCTTATCATGATTGCAACCTTTTTCCCAAGCAGGGCCAGTCAAGTTTCCATCTGAATGCAGGACACATTTCCACAGAATTTATCACAACACAAGGGATTGTTCCAGACCGACATGTATGTATATCTTTAACTTAATAAAAATAATAATTGTGATTTTTCTTCTATAGTATGTGCACAAAAATATTATATGTTAAATGTAAATGTGCTTTTGATTGGCTCACAAGATGTAGATGATTTTTTTTTTCTCTCCAAAAGACTGAGCTGAAACTGTGGTCCTAGGTGATTCTTAAAAAAACAACAAAACAAATACTGGTAAAAAAACAAACTTAATTAATACCTGTTCTTCCTGACGATACATTGAGGTCCTGTGAAGCGAAATAATCAGTTTTCTAGAAACATTATTTACACCATTATTACCTCCACAGACAAATATTCAATTATTTTCCATGAACTGGTTCTTTCAGACAGTTTGTTTCTGATTAAATTTATAAATTCATTGGTTAATTTGCATAATAATTCAATGTTTATGTATTTAAACAGCACAGGTTAACTATGGTTTATAAACTGTCCACCTTATACACATCACATCTGATTTTGACTAATGTAATAATGTAAAGCTTGAATTGAAACTTGAATGAATTAAATGATGTGGCATACGCATGAATTTCAACTAGTTTTGATTGATGGCATCACGGTGGCTTAGTGGTTCGCACTGTTGCCTCACAGCAAGAAAGTTGCTAGTTTGAGTCCCGACCGATTTCGCCCACAGACCAAAGAAATACAGTATACTTTAGGTCAGTGTTTCTCAACCACATTTTTGGAGGACCACTGACCCTGCATGTTTTAGTTTTCTCCTTTGTCTGTCACACCCATTACAGGTCTCTCAGTCTCTACTAAAGAGCTGATGATCTGAATCAGGTGTTTGGTTAAGGAGACATGGGTTGTTTCTCAATATGCTTTCTTCATTGATCTTGCGTCCTCGTGTTGCGAACTCGCTCGAGAAGTCCTAGAAGTCATTGCGGCTGAATAAAGTAGGAGATGGGAAGTGCCGCACTTTATATAGGTTTATTATTAAAGTTCAGAGATTTAGCTTATTTATCTCAGGAGTTTTCCTAAATGAGACTGTGAAAGTAAACATTACCATGAAAATCTAACTAAAGGCATAAACACATTAAGGGTGTTTATTTGCGGAAATTCATATTAAAATAAGTTTTTTGTATTGTACTAAGTATATTTGTAAGGTTATATATATATTAAAAAAGGGGGGAAACAGTAAGTTGTTGTATGAATGCTGTAATTTTTAAATAATTTTCCATTAAAAACACGTGAAGGTTATGTGACCATCAGGAAAAACAGAGCATCTAATTCTCACAGGACTCATTCGCGCAGTCTCCCGAGTTTGTTTTTCAAAAGTGACCTGGCAAGACTGGTCTCTACTAAAACACAAGTTTGTTCCCTGCGTTCTTGGAATTGAGAAACAGGCATGAAAACATGCAAAGCTGGTGGTCCTCCAGGAGCATGGTTGAGAAACACTGCTGTAGGTGAACTGGATAAACTAGACTGGCTGTAGTGTATGAGTGTGTGTGAGCGTTTCCCAGCATTGGGGGTTCGCGGCAATCTCAGTGCTGGGTTGCAGCTAGAAGGGATTTTGCCACATAAAGCATATACCCGAGTAATTAGTGATTCATTCTGCTGTGATGACTCCTGATAAATCAGAGACTAAGCTGAAGTGCTATAAGTTCTGATCGATTCATTTTTTAACGTAAAAGCATTAAATTGTTCTTTTGCTCAAGTCACACATGTGTTTATCACTGCCTTATTAGTGCTTTTTTCAGTTTAGCCACTGTTGGAGCAGTGCAGGATGGTGTATGTAGGTCATTTGGCTAAAGTCATATAGGAGTGACTGTCGGGCACATTCTAAACTGAGTTGAGATGACCTTGGAGATATGTGCTGATGCAAACTGTTTAACACAGTAAGGTCCAATTTGGACTGACTGGTTCATCCAGTTCACTATAAAGATGAACCAGTTCAAAAGAACTTCACTTCATATAACTTCACCCCAGAACATGGTTTTTAGCTATTAAAAAAAAAAAAAAAAGTCCACTGGAGGAAAAAAGTCTACATCTTAGATGGATTTGCGGAACCTAAATAAACTCTGGATTGCTCTGGATGCCCAATCTAGGGCCCACAAGCCAAAGTTGTAACCTTTGATTTGGCCCCCCATGCCATCTGAGAATGGATCAGAGATTGATTTCAAATTTAATGTAAAATTGTACTTGTTTGTTTTATTGTTACCAAAAAAGCTACCAAAAAAGCTATCTGAGATTGAATGTTTTAATGTAAATAGTGTACTGTAGATGAATCAGATAGAGAGAAACAATGCTGAGACTTTGGTAAGCGAATCTGCGAATCAGCGAAGGCAGATTCTGCTTGACTAGTGTATTCATTGAACTCCACTGTGTTATAAATGTGATTGTTTATGTTTTATTGCAATAAGTTAAGTTATACTGCATTAGTTAATACAATTCAAATGAATGCTTTCTAATATTTTTTTGAAATTATTAAATGAATTAGGAAATTACCCATGCCGATTTTAATGTAAAATTTTTTTTATTATTATCTTTGGCCCAAGGCGATCAGTGATATTTGGTTTTTGACCCTTTATTCGAAAACGTTTGTTCACCCCTGCTCTAGAAAAACTGTTCTTTATTAGTTAATTACCATCAATGACCGGTGATGGAAAGAGTACTGAAAAATCATACTCAAGTAAAAGTACCATTACTTGCCCAAAAATGTAGTACAAGTAGAGTAAAAGTATCTGTTGTAAATATCACTCAAAGTATGAGTAAATAGTGGACATTTCAAAAGTACTCAAGAGTAAAAAGCTGATGCATTTACATGTAATTTGTGCATGTGTGTAAACGTAACATTCTGTAGTGCATTTAGTTATTGCAAAGCAGGCACACATTAATATTTGGTTATAAGATGTTAATATTAATATAACGTCATAAGACGTTAATATAAGGTCATATTTAGGTTGTGATGACAGATGACCAAAATTTTGTCTAGCTAGCGTCTAAGGATGAAGTTATTTTGATGCCCAATAATGATGTCAAATGACGTTAATATCTAGTCAATTTTAAGTTGTTAGAAAGTGACCAAAATCCAACATCAAGCCAACATCTTAAACCAACGCCATATTGACGTCAAATACTGACATTTATTTCTCGGGTATGGCAACCAAAATCCAACGTCTGATAGACGTCATAGTGGTAACGTCCACACCATGTCAAGCTGTAATATCATTAGACATTGATATTTGGTTGATTTTAGGCTGGACGTAGACATTGGCCTATCATTGGGTTCTAATGTTCTGATTTTCATTTCCAAATAAAAACGTCCCCATGACATTGGGGTACAACGTCAATCTGATGTCATGTTGATGTCTTGTGCCTGCTGGGTATTTAAGACCATTTCGGTCATTATACAGTAAATATTCGTCATCTTCTCATCTGTGACATACAACTAATCAGTATCTGGGTCAATACGTGTAAAGATTTGACATTTGACATTTTAATGTTTCTAAACAGTTTGCTGTCATTATAAATCGCCCATATCATGAGGTAGTTCATTATGATGCGATTTACCTTCTGTTGAGCGATCTGATTGGACGGGAATTACAGTACTGATTTTTCTAATCCCCATAGACAAGAAAAAATAAAGTGGTTACTGCAGGTTGAAAAAAAATAGTGGAGTGAAAGTACCAATACTGCACTAAAAATGTACTCAAGGGAAAGTAAAAGTACACATTTATAAAACTACATAGTAAATTACAATTCCTAAGAAAAACTACTCAATTACAGTAGCTTGAGGGTTTGTATTTAGTTACTTTACACCATTGTCAATGACTAATGTTACAGTTTTTCTCAATCGCTTTGGTGCGTTTCTCACAACACCAGTGCATTTCTGCACAACAGTTAATGCATTTCTCAAAACAATCAGTACAAACTGCAAAACCTAGCTGATAACTTGCAAAAGCTCATGCTCAAAAAAACTTCCTAATCTGCAATTGCCTCTGAATATCACAGTAACTGTACATAAAAAAACAAATAAAAAAAATACTAATACTACTAATACTTTCCTTCTTAGACTTTACAGACCTGAAACTTGCGTATAGCGCTTATTTATTGTTGCTCTTATAGTTGTGTAAATTGCTTCCTTGTCCTCATTTGTAAGTCGCTTAAAAGCGTCTGCTTAATGACTAAATGTAAATGTAAAATGTATAGTTCATTTCTTAAAAGCAAGTATTCATGTCAATCAAAGTGTCAGTATCATCAAGATAAAAAATCCTGACACCATTGTTTATGAACAAGATAGTCAAATGGCTTTGTCATGTTTTCATTATGACAGTTTACTCTGGACATTTTTTCAATGCAAAAAAAAGTCAGATTTTGGTGACACGTCCTGAAAATGCTCAAGACAGCAGTATATACTATTTGCACCGCCATTTGAAAACTACAGCAGAGTCAGACATCACTGCATTTAGTGAGGTATCTGAGTATGACACTGAATATGTATGTTTCACATTTTTACAGCATTTGCTCGTTGCAATCCTAATTTATTCACAGTATTGTGCAAAAGAATAAACACACACTTATTTACAAATAGCATAAGCTTCCTTTGGGTAAAGCTGGGCACAACTGTAAACTATATTGCAGAACATATTGGAACTGAACCTACAACACAGGTCTGTAAATCAATCACGAAATTGTTCAATTTGGAAGATTTTTTCAGAAAAATAAAGATTACATTTGTTTTTTTATAAAATTAGTTTGACAGATTTTGACAACTAGTTCAACATTTTTGTATGTAACGACTCAAGTAATGAAATGAGGACTATTAGTTTTATATGCAATGACTATTCAACATTTACAAGTTTAGTTAATTTTGACTGACATGACATAAGCAAAGAATAATGTTATAAAAAGCAGAGAGTTGTATGAAAGCAATTGATGCATGTCTAAAAGCATCTGCAATTTGTTGGAAGGAATGAGAAACTGCTACTAGGATGTGCACAAATGACTAATTGTTTTAAGAAATGCATTAACTGTTGTGCAAATGTAAATAGTGTAGTGAGAAATGCATCAAAGCGACTGAGAAAAACTGTAACTGAAACCTTGCAATGTGTACCATAGAATTGAATTGAAATGGCTCATTATTATTTAGATGTTCTTCAGATATCTTTTGTATTTTGTAAAGAAAAAATGTGTAGGTTTGACATGACATGAGTTGATTAACACAGTAAATGTTTTTATTTTTTTATTTTAGGCTGAGCTGTTCCCTTTAAAAGCCATGAAATGCTAACCAACATTATGATCCTAATAAATCAAATGTTTGTTTGTTTGTTTGTTTGTTTGTTTGTTTGTTTGTTTGTTTGTTTGTTTGTTTGTTTGTTTGATATAAACTTTAATAACGCTGCCTGTTTTTTTTATTTTTCAAAAGTAAAAAACAATATGTTTTGACAGGGAGTTACACCAAAAATGCTCCTCCGCCCTTAGTCCTCATGGACTTTGTGTGTTCATGAGAGGTTTGCATTTTTCCTTTAAATAACACTTTCCTAACGGGCTGTCTAAACTGTTATTCTGTTTAGAGAGAGTAGATGTCAAACCTAATCAGGGTTCTTTTCTTCAACGCTGTTAAATTCTATATTTCACAAAACAAACCGGAGACAAAGTGGTTGCCCAGAGTGATGATCAGATTTATATTTTGGGTCACAAAAGTTGCCTGATTTCCCCTAGACATTGGCTGTTTTGTTTAGTTTTTTCGTAAGTAAAAACACTTGTGTGTTTGTGGCCAGAGATGTTTTGTGAACTTGCTCCATGACCCTCCTTCTCTGGTTCTCCACGGAGAACGAAGTGTTGTGAAACTCAACTTTAGATACCGTGGACGTTTCATTTGTAAATAAGGAGCTATGAAATATTGCAATATAGTAGTGAAAAAGTGCAGAATACGTTTAAAGATGAGATATTATTTGGTACGCTGGGATTTGTAAACAAGTTCATGCAAAACCGATAACCGAGCAGCTGTATTTGAGAACTTGGCAGCCACGAGGAACTCTGGAAATGGCAAAAGCATAATAATTCATAAGAAAATCAGAGGTTCTGTCTTCCAGAGCATTTTTATGGCTTAAATGCTCCCTAAACTGTAGTAAACTTGAAACGTGATATGTTTTTATGTACGGTAACAGCAAATCCAAAGTCATCCGTTACTATATCCTGTCAAGATACTTGTGTTTGAGTTCTGCTTTGACAATGTCACTCTTGAACCGAAATGTGGCTCTACCTTGAGAGAAAATGATGGCGACAGTGTTTGGAAAAGGTCAGCAATGGGATGTTCAGACTTCACAAACACCATTATGGGTGGAGGCATGTGGTGCTTGATCCCACACAGTCATTTTAGGCCATCAAGTACATTATTTGGGCACAGATTAAGCTATTTGCTGGGATCCATCTAACCCTTAGCTATGTTCGCATTCTTTACGTCATCCCATGATGAGAGCTGCACTTAAAGCAGAATTTCATCAGGGCGTTTTAAGTGCTGACGTTTGCTTCATGTCACGTCACGGCAGAAGCTGTGTTTCATCCCTGTTGTTAATGTCTGTTTAACATTCTGCCTCTTGTCTCTGACAGATTATAAAAGATGTGCAAGATTGCTAACAAGGCTAGCGATGAGTCCCCTTTGCACACAATCATAGAAAACGCATGTAAGTACAAACATTTGTGGATGTTTTGAACTACTTTTAAGATGTCCAAGTGGGATGTGTTTTGTTTTAAGTACAAAAACCTGTTAAAAATATAATTAAAAAAATTTAAAAAATGCACAGCATACATGTGTACACCCATTTTAAAATGTAGTATTTTTATGCATTTCACAGTGAATATATAGACAATATACACTCACTGGTCACTTTATTAGGTACACCTTACTAGGACTGGGTTAGACCCTTTTTGCATTCAGAACTGCCTTAATCCTTCGAGGCATAGATTCAACAAGGTACTGGAAATATTCCTCAGAGATTTTGGTCCGTATTGACATGATAGCATCACACAGTTGCAGCAGATTTGTTGGCTGCACATCCATGTTGCGAATCTCCCATTCCCCCACATCTCAAAGGTGCTCTATTAAATTGAGTTCTGGTGACTGTGGAGGCCATTTGAGTACAGTGAACTCATTGTCATGTTTAAGGAACCAGTCTAAGATGATTTACGCTTTATGACATGACGCGTAATCAATGTTTTTCCAATCTTCTATTGTGCAATTTTTGTGAGCCTGTGCGAATTGTAGTTTCAGTTTCCTGTTCTTAGCTGACAGGAGTGGTGCCAGTGTGGTCTTCTGTTGTTGTAGCCCATCTGCCTCAAGGTTGGATGTGCTGTGCGTTCAAAGATGCTCTTCTGCATACCTTGGTTGTAAAGCTGCACAATTAATCATAAAAGATCCCGATCCTTATTTGACCCCCTTGGTGATCATAATCCAGCATTTCTTACCATTCTGTCAATCATATTTTCAAGTTCAGGAGTGAAGCAGTGGTGGCCGCAAAAGTCTTCATATTGTTTTACATACGTTGTTGAGCAATGTGGACACCTCCAAATGGTGTTGAAAGAGTCACATCCTGTATTTATAAGATATAATTCACCCCAAAAATGTCATTTCTGTCTTCATGTCATGATGTATTTACGACCGCAAAATCACACGTGACGTGAGCTGACCGTCAGCTGTTACCACAGAGAGCGGGCACGCGCGCCTCTGAATAAAGTCTACTTTAGTGAACAGAACTTGCATAGGCTGTGAATAACAGGTAATAAAGTTGTAAATAACAGTCAGTTTGTGGCACAGAGTGATCGTTTGGGAGCAGCGCGGGAAGTGAACCGCTCTTAGCACTGAAAAAAAAAACGAAAGCGCGCACAGTTTTGCCAGATTTAGCTGACTAATTCCAGCCCAAAAAGTATTAAAAAAACAGCTGAAATGCAAAAATACCCACCCAGTCTTCTGTATTCACGGAAATCACGCCAGTAACCGATTTTAAGCAGAAAATGACAGATTGTAAGCATGTCTCAAACACAATAACTCAACATCAGAATTATCATCAGCATTAATGACCAGAACAAATCTAATGTCTATTCAAGTCCACCATTCCAAGTCTATACATCATTTAGCATTTTAACCAACAGTACAGCTACACAAACCCTATTGCTGTTTCACCACATGATTGAGAATAACAATAATAACAGCCCACTCATATTAACCATTATTTTACATCTACAGAAACGTGAGAAAATCGTGATCTTTATTTTAGGCAAAAAAAAAATGCGATTCTCATTTTAGCCAGAATCGTGCAGCTCTACTCAGATGTAACAAATGGTTATTTGAGTAACTGTTGCCAATCAGCTGGAACCAGTCTGGCCATTCTCTTATGACCTCTGACATCAACAAAATATTTGCGCTCACAGAACTACCACTCACTGGATATTTTCTCTTTTTCGGACCATTCTCTGTAAACCCTAGAGATGGTTGAGCGTGAAAATCCCAGTAGATCAGCAGTTTCTGAAATACTCAGACCAGCCCTTCTGGCACCAACAACAATCCCAAGCTCACTTAAATCACCTTTCTTACCCATTCTGATGCTCGGTTTGAACTGCAGCAGATCGTCTCGACCATGTCTACATGCCTAAATGTTTGAGTTGCTGCCATGTGATTGGCTGATTAGAAATTTGTGTTAATGAGCAGTTGGACAGGTGTACCTAATAAAGTGACTAGTTAGTGAATACATAAATATATTATTGTACATTCTCGGTCATCCTAATGACAGAATATAGAATAAAATGCAACAGACAGACAGACAGACAGACAGACAGACAGACAGACAGACAGACAGACAGACAGACAGACAGACAGACAGACAGACAGACAGACAGACAGACAGACAGACAGATAGATAGATAGATAGATAGATAGATAGATAGATAGATTCTTCCAATTATTATTAATAATAAGAATAATTGCGTATTTGACATTGTTATTTTCATTATTTATTTTCCAAAACAAGAACGTGGCAGCATTTGTACTAGCATGGTCTGCTCCCGGTTACTGTTGGGAAAGTTTTGCATGTTTCTTTAACTGAAACCTTAGATGAAATATTGAGTAAGATATAATGTCAGTTTAATCATGGCCATCTGCTACATTTGGAGGCATGCAGTTAATGCACGGTTCACGCAGGCAGAAAACAACTTCCAGACATCTTCCACTTTTGAATTTGCATTGTAATGTACATTCCTCGATGAACCAACCGCTTTGAAGATGATACATAAAGTGACACGACACTCGTGTTGCCGTGTTCAGGCAATTTAAATGCCGATTTAATTTAGTATGACTTTAAGAGATTTTGAACTTTGTGTTTATGTCTAATAACAAAACGCAGTGCACAAGCTTGGATCTATCAGTTTTATACAACTGAATAAGCATGTATTGGACTGTATAATAAAATGATGAAATAACCGCATGTGTCAGAGACTCGACCATTACTCATTTAATTCCTAGAAGCATATTTAGAATAATTCAAGACTGAACCGCAGTGCTAGAATCAGTCAGTCCTGTGACATCATCAATGAAATGAGACATTCAAAGAACTTGTTAGTGAAAGGTGAAAGAATCCATTACCAATGTGAACGTCAAATAATGCAGCTGGTGAATTACGATGGTTTTATTAGGTTATGATTACGGTTAAGCCTGTTTTTTCCTCTGAATCAATTAGAAATGGTTAAATTGCCTTTTATGAGGTGAATAAGTGATTTCTATTCAAGTGGAGAGAAATCTGAAGTTCATTGTTTCTGTGTTTGACAGGTTGACTCGCTTTAAACTTAATTTAGTCACTTTTCTAACTGCATGCCGAAAGTACAGCTTTAAACGAAAAGAAAGATGTGTTATTGTTAAATATTTAACACCTGATTCTTTATGCGCCGCAGGTCCTGAGGATATAAAAGAAGAAGCTCTGAGGATTTTGGAGTACATTATTTTTTTCCAAGGAAGTGCCTTCAAACCACTGCAATTAACTGTCATTGTTTTCATTTACTGTCATTTCCATTTCCAACGAAAGATTGTTCTGAATGAATACAAAATATAATTTTTTGCTTATCATAATTTATATGTTTGTGTTATGATGCTATTAAAATATAGTTTTGTTTAATAGCTTTGCTTTTGATATTATGAGTTTTAAAGAAAGTATTATTTATCGTTGCTGCCAGTTATTTATTTAAATGATGTGTAAATATTCTGTCCTGATTACCAGAGAGGATATTGGAATATGTATCTCATTAAAACCGTCATTACTATTAAATATATTTCTGTTTTGTATTGACATGTATTATTTTAAATGCAAATCTAAATATATGTCATTTCAACTAGGGTTGGGTCGATAGACGATGCTATCGTCCATCGCCGATGACTAATAGACATCACAATACTGAGATGGCATCCCGATCCTCTGTACCGCCCCTCTCGCAAACTTTCCCGAGAAAAATACACACTTAGGCCCTGTTTAGACTAATACGTCTTAGTTTTAAAATGGCATTTCAGAATGAAAAAGATCCATGCCCGCACTGGTGTTTTATCTAGGTTTTCTGAAAATCCCTCCTTCCATACTATAACACTAAAAAAATGCACATTCCGTGATCACACAGAGACAGATACTGTCATGTGCTCGTCTGAGCTCAAAACCCCAGAGAGCAGTGCACGTCGAACAGTTTATCAATGATGTATTGTAGGATTGCGTCTCACTATAGTTGTTAAACGTGTTATTTTATTAATCTTGTCTCTATCTAACGACTCTTCTGTCTTTTGAATGCATCAGGTAACGTGTCACAGCTGAAAGTACGTCGCTTTAATCATTCGCTTTCACGCTTGTACTTAGTCATTTTAGTGAAAACCTCAGCTACTGTTGGCTGGTTTCTGTTGGTTGTGCAACTTTTTTACCAACCAAGTTTGTCGACACCATTGTAACAACACAGATCACTGTGTCCCGCGGAAAAAGTGATTGACAGAAGAAATTTGTGTGTAACTCATGTTTATTTATTTATAATTTGGTTATGGATAGGCCCACACGGAATCTATGCGTGCAGATATCCGTAGATTTTTTGCCCATCATTGAGTCTATTTATTTACTTGTGTAAATGTGTGTAAATTTCTATTTATTACATTTTTTTTATTAATTTCAGTAATTTCATTGACTAATATGAAAAATTTTATATGATTTTTTTACAGTTAATACAGTTTGTAAAGTAATATTTTCTGTCTTTTATGATATATATTACATTACAGACTTGCTTTGTTTAGCAATGTATAAGTGGATCTAATTGGATTTGCATTGAAAACATTAAATAACAGTTAAAAAGTTATTATTTTTAATTTCATGTATTTAGTTAATAACGATACTCCCGAAATTATTCTACACAAATCGGAAGATCATCTACAAAATTCTAAATAAAAATAGCAAAAAAAATTACGCAGATTCTGTGTGGCCCTAGTTATGGGTAAAACAAAGACCATCCGGGTCAGGTAGTTGAAACGATTAGCTACAAATAATTAATTCATTATGAATGAATTAATTATTCATAAATTATTAATTCACCGCCATCTACGACGACGATGCCATCGTCCATCACGATGTTTCACATTGGACATTGTACGATGGCAAATTGGTCGTCATCGCCCAACCCTAATTTCAGTCATCCATACTCTTTACGAAATGATGAACGTTTCATACCATGCTGTCATTTCCACGATATCCACCATTGGCACTTAAAGAACTTCAAACGATAAATTATTTCAATGACAAAAACACATTGTTTGTTTGATAACAATGGTAATATTGCACTGATGCTTTGAAAGAATAAAATCATTCAAGCACACTTATTGCTTTTGTTTTTTATTCAGATGTTCATTATAAAAAGGTTTGATGGGATGATGGAGTTCTCTGAAACATTCTTGGTGGTGTCTAACAAATTATGCGAGCTTGAAATTATCATACTTTGGGTCTTTTTGTTTAATGATCGATTAGAATATGGATTGTCAGCTCTTAAGAAATGTTCTCCATTCTGGTAATTTAAGCATATTTCGTAATCGCTGACAATCCTTAACTTCTGAGTCAGGGGAGACATAAAATCATAAATCTCTCAGAACATTAAGCATCATTCATAAATCCCACTGGTGGCCACCAAGCAAGTCTCTGTCAACCATGAACGTCTTGTTTAACTCGGATGCTTACATGCTTGTGTATGTAACACATCTTTATAGCACATTTTAATTACACTGCTGTATTTTTGAGAGAGAAAAATGATTTGAAGTTGTTTTGATGGCTTGGAGTTATAGCTATTTAATTGTTTAGCAGGATTTAATTAAAGTAACGTCTCTGTTTATTTTCGACATCTATACAGATACAACATTGCTACAGTGTGTCTTTAGCACTGGAGTAAGATGACATCCGAGAAAGTCTTCATAAAAAGCACATAAACAAGAGTGGACTCAAAAATTGAGCAAATAAACAGATCTGTTCCTGTAGTAGGGATGACAAACATTTGCTCTGAGCTCTAGATGCTTTGGAGATCAACTAAGACCGTGGCTTTATCTCCATCTCCATCATAATCAAATATTTACCTCATCTCATGTGGGTGGTCATTAACACAAACACAAAATACAGCCCTAATTGTTGTTTAGAGAGTGTCATAAACATTTTAAAAGCGGACACTTGAAAGCTGCACCAGAACTCACAGTGCTAACTCAAGTTCTCACGACACAATGTCTCTCAACACATATCAAAATAATTAGCATCTTAAATGTCTGACAGGATCTTGTGTTAACGGACACATTTTTCTCTTGCTTGTTTAAAAGTGAAATATCTGTCAGTTTTATGGTTATTTCTGATCCCTGAGCTACATTTATAATGCTAATTTGTATTTGTTTATGACAAACAAAATGTTTTTTTGCAGTAATGCCATATTAAAACTACTGTTTTTGTTTGTTGTTCTGTTTAAGTGAATGCATCTTCGAGACAATGTCCAAGCAAATTGATGTCTAAAAGAACCTTGTTCTACTTTTTGGAACATGCATGATAAAGGTTCATCACAGAACAATAAACATCAATATATATATATATATATATATATATATATATATATATATATATATATATATATATATATATATATATATATATATATATCTCGATTCCCTTGTCTTTTGTATTTTAATAGTTTAAATAACCATATTCTAAATAGCCGGGTCCATCACGTTTTAGGGTCTTAACTTTTTTGTTCTGTTCCAAGCTATTTAAAAATGTTGTGAGAAAATGCAGCACATTTTCATAAATTGTTTGCGCTGTGAGAAAATTTAGCGTGTGTTTTTTTGTGTTTGCATTGTAAGGATTTGCAGCTTGTGTGCTGTCAAACTGATGAACATCTTTTCTCAATTTGCTGCCATTTTCTGTAATTGAAAGTGTTTTCTTAAATTTTGAATAAGTAGTTTGAATGAGCAGCAAAAATAACTTTAAGTGTGTATTCATCTATATGACATGGTTTGTATTGCCTCTTATGCCGAGTTCAGACTGGATGATTTCAAAATAGACGCGTCTCAGATGTTTTCACACAGCATGACTTTCTGAGGTAGAATTCCATCGCTGCTGTGTTTACAAGGGTTTTACACTGCATTACTTTACAAAAGAAAGAATGGTAGACAACATTGTTTCGGTCCACAAACTACATCTCACAACCAAATGCACACAAGAAGCAACATGGAAAAAATGCAAGGTCATCTTTTGCTATTAACTACAAAATGAGAAAGAGGCCTTTCGCGGTGCAGAAAATTTACTTATTTTGCTCTGCTGACTTTTAAAGGAAATTAGCCTTTTGACCTGGTTATTGCTCAGATGACACACCAAACAAACGAGTGCTGCTGCCAAATTTAAACAAGTTTTTTCCTTCTTTTCTTGAGTCCAAATAGACTGAAAAAAGGCATGTGAGATCTGATCACGTGATTGAAAACACGATTTTAGATTTCAGAATATATATATATATATATATATATATATATATATATATATATATATATTTTTTTTTTTAAGACACTTCTATATAGCTTAAAAGGACATTTAAAGGCTTTACTAGGTTAATTAGATTAACTATGCAGGTTAGGGTAATCAAAGTTAAGTAAAGTTATTGTGTAACGACAGTTTGTTCTGTAGACTATTAAAAAAAATTGCTTAAAGGGGCTAACAATTTTATCCTTAAAATGGTGTTTAAAAAAAATTATAACTGTTTTTATTTTTGCTGAAATAAAACAAATAAGACGTTCTCCAGAAGAAAAAATATTATCATACATACTGTAAAATTGTCCTGGCTCTGTAAACATAATTTGAGAAATATTTTAAAAAGAAAGAAAAAAAATAACATATATGCACTTTCTTTTTTTATGTATTATAGAAATATCGGATAGGGTTTTGGTATCGGCAGATACTCAAAATCAAATAACGTAAGACTCAGACTCAGGGGCAAAAAAAGCATGATCAGGATATCCCAACTTTTCACTTCTCCCCCAACCTCCCGCTGGCCTGCAGATACCCATACTAGTGGAGGCTGCACTATCATTGGCTGTAGGTAATCGCTGATGTTGTTTTCAACCAGAACACACGGCATGATTTGAATTGCCTACAAGTCCAGATATTTCGCATGGCAAATATCTCACGGGTGTCAGGAACTCATTGGTAGTTCTTTCAGATTGAGTTTTTGATAGTTAACACTGTGTGATTGTTAATCGAGTGAACGAGCACCGATTAGCCTGTGATTTAAGGCATTTGTTGGCGATTTCTCAAAATCTGTCTGCAAGTCAAAATCGGGGCTAAAATCATGCAGTCTGAACTCGGCATTAGTGTCAATACATTGTCTTTATACACTACTGTTTTAATTGCATTCAAAACATCTAAGAATGACAAAACGGCTAATTGATTTGTCATGACATGAACCCTTTTAAGGGTTTCAAAGCAAAACCCCCAGAAAACTCATTTTACATTGCTGACGTCACAGTCTTGTCATAAATGCTTTACAGTGAAAATCTTGAAAACTAATACCAAGAAACCATTTTCCTTCCCCATTCATCATTGTTATCTTGTGTGACATGCTTTATATGGTCTTTTAGATCCTTCTTTGAAATAGATGTTGGCTTTACTGGTCTACAGGGAGCATAAATCCTCAGGCATTTCACTTGAAATGTCTGGCAACAAACAGTTCAGCCACAACGTACTTTTTTTTGATGCGCCCCATTTACGGCTACAGTAGCATCCTAA